AAAAAAAAAAAAAGGAATAGGCCTAAAAATAAAGTAAAATAAAATAAATAAATAAATATATATATATAAGTTAAGAACTCACGCATGGGCCAAAAGGAGGCATCAGAGAAAGGACCGATTTATACAATTGGTATTGCTGACGTAAAAACAGAGAACAAAGTGTGAGTGAGAGATCCAATCCCTACCTAGTTTGAAGATTATGGACGTATTCCAGAAAAGGTCCCCACACTTTTTGAAACTTATCTTTGGAGTTACAAATTGAGTAATGTATTTTTTCAAGGTTTAAACAAGACATAACATCTCTCAACCACTGAGCGTGGGTGGGCGGGGCAGCATCCTTCCACCTCAGCAATATTGCACGTCTGGCCAAGAGAGAGGCAAAAGACAGAGTTCGGCGTTTGGCTGGGGTCAGGCGCACATCTATGTCACCTGTGGTGCCAAAAAGAGCAATCAGAGGGTTGGGTTCCATGTCCAAGTTGACAGTTAAGGATAAAGTTTGGAAGACTTCTGCTTGTAGCCTAGTTATGGCTTTATCCCTATCTTTATTCAAGAGAGAGAGTGGTATATCAGTTTGAGAGCATTATTTATTGATTTCACGTTCAGATTTTGTAATATTGTCCCTCAAACCCTGCCCTCGCACTCAGATAGCCTCTGCTTGAGCTTAGATCTACTCTGTTTCTGCTCAAACTGTGTGCTCGCACTCAGATACCATGTTGCTCGCACAGATTTCCTGCTCGAGCTTCGGCTTTTCTCCNAGCTTAGATCTACTCTGTTTCTGCTCAAACTGTGTGCTCGCACTCAGATACCATGTTGCTCGCACAGATTTCCTGCTCGAGCTTCGGCTTTTCTCCTCGCGCTCAAACTCTTTCTGTGCGCTCGCGGAATTTCTGCTCTCAGATTTCTGCCCTGCTCTTGAATTTTTTTTTGTGTAACAAAACCCTGTCAAAATCCCCCAACCAATAGAACGCCAGGTTTACTGTTGACCAATGAAGTGATCCCAGGCTGGCGCGCTTGCTTTAGTTTAATAAAGCCATTTAATAAAGCCTTGGAGGGTGGGAGTGGATGAACCCGGTTAAAGCCCGCCAGGGATCATTTCATTGGTCAACAGTAAACCTGGCGTTCTATTGGTTGGGGGATTTTGACAGGGTTGTTAGACAAAAAAAATCTAAGAGCTGGGCGGAAATCTGAGTGCAGAAATTCTGCGAGCGCACAGAAAGAGTTTGAGCGCAAGGAGAAAAACCGAAGCTCGAGCAGGAAATCTGTGCGAGCAACATGGTATCTGAGTGCGAGCAACATGGTATCTGAGTGCGAGCACACAGTTTGAGCACAAACAGAGTAGATCTAAGTGCAAGCAGAGGCTATTTGAGTGCGAGGACAGGGTTTGCGGGACAATATTACAAAATCTGAACTTTATTACTAAATCAATAAATAATGCTGTCAAACTGATATACCAATCTCTTGAATAAAGATAGGGATGAAGCCATAACTAGGCTACAAGCAGTTGAGAATGGAGCACCCCTCCGCGAAGTTCAAAAGTTCCTCCCTAGATCTCTTTATAAAAGTACCTCAAGCCTCCTTTATGTATTTATTTATTTGCCTTTATTCACTGATGTAACGTTTTTGTCCCAATATTTTGTGTGATATCTTTGTATATTTCTTCAATAATAATAATAATAATTTAATTTAATTTTTTTTTTTTCATTTTGGTTCTGGAAACAAATATTGAAAAAACAAGTCATTATTTTGTTTTTTCATATTTGGTTTTATTTAAATTAATTAAATTTAATTAAAATTAATGAACGAATGATACACGGATTATAAAGGGATTATAAAGGGACAGAGAAATCATCTCTAGACAGTGAAAAGGACAAAAAGATACAGAGAGGGCTTATTATTTTATACATTATTTGGTAAATAATAACAATGAATAATAATAAAAAAAATCATTAAGGAACAGCTTGGATGCAGGGAACCTTTTTCTTAATGCATTGCAGAGCTATTCACCTATCAAGCATTGGCTATAGATTGGATTGACTTTATTTTATGTGTATGGGGGGTTGGGAGGCGCTGTGGATATGGAGGCAGCATGATGCAGTGACTGGGGATGTCTTTGTCTCCCTCCTAGTCCTTTTTTTAAATACTTTTTTCAAGTTCCAGGGAGGAAGCACTTCAGCCAAAAGTCTGGGGTTTCTTTACTCTTTCAAGGGTAACACCATGTGTTTTCATCCTGTTGCTGTTCTTATTATCCAGAGTTTTCAGCTGTTTTCTACATAGACTGTATAACAAAAATATAAAATATGACTGCTTTCCAAAAGTGAAGCCATAACATATGGATTGCCCCCTAATGGCTGGCTGTAGTACAGGTCATAAACCCCGCCCCCCTCGATGTTAGCGGACTGGACATGGGCCAAACTAAAAAATCAAAGTATAGTTTCTTAAATTTTTCCCAAAGGTGTTTGTCATTTTAGGTAGTTATTGGTTTTAGTTAGTTATTTGATGCTATTAAAGATGGGGTTTGACCTCATAAATGACAGCTGTGTGTGCTAATCACTGTGCATGCAAACAATAGAGTTGCTTGTGATTGATTACTTTAGTTTTTAGTGATTCTCCTGACAGGCTGCATATTATCTTAACTAAAGAGTGATCTGAATTTCCGCATCTTTCTGCAATTAGATCTATTCGGTTTGCAAACCTAACTGATTTGGAGTTAATGCCGCAAAGGAGTCAAAAGTTAAAGCAACAGCATTTAATGTCTGTAATATACTGTATAACACCCTGTTACCTGATTGTATCAAATATTTGACAGACAGATGTTTTTAGGACATTAGTAATTTACTCCATGTGTTGCTAGTAGTAAATGATGAAACCTCAAAATCCAAATATATAACCATACACATCATCATCAGTATTCACCTTCATCTGGCTTTACCTGACTGTGTCATGATCCCACACTTAGACAGTAGACATAAATCCATAAATCCTGTTAATGCTAATATTGGTGTTGGTGTGTGTGATGATGCAGCTCTTAGACCTGATGCACACTCTGCACACACGGGCTGCCAGCATCTACAGCTCCTGGGCAGAGGAGCAGCGCCACCTGGAGGCGGCAGGCAGGAAGATCGAGGCTGACTCCCAGACTTTATGGATGAGCTGCTGGTGCCCACTGCTGCAAGGTAGGCCCTTAATAAACAGGAGACAGATTGTCTAATGCAGTCAAGTCCAACATGGCCTCTAAATAGTACCTTAATGAAGCTTTTAATGTTCATTTTTGTTGAGACATGGTAGCTCTTGAAATGGTGTTTAACTGGAAATTTGTTGGATAAAATACCAAAAATTAAATGAAAATAATAATGATAAATTTGATTTATAATCAATAATAACAGAATAATGCAGGTCCACTAGTTGCACAGTTCAAGTGCATTTGCAGTATATGACAAAACTGATGACTGCTAATATGAAAAGAAGACTTGGCTTGATTACATGTCCATTTTTTTCTAAAGTCCTTGTTATTATGGTACCTATTTGAAATTATGTTAAAAAATACATCTACTGGAAAACCAAAATCCTTAAATCAAACCTGCTGCTCCACACACCTTGCTCTTCTTGCAAATGAAACTTATTACTTACTGTTTTAGCAAGTGACTAAGGTCAAATCTTTTCAACTCACATCTGACTTTTCAGACACCACTGGTATATTTTTGACAAAACTGTCTTAAAAGTGTTTTTTCATTAAGAACAATCAATGATTGACCTTAAAGGGAAGTTAACTGTAAAGGTTAAAATGTCAGGTGTTCAAAGGTCATTATTAGATACAGATATTAATGAGTTTGAAAATCATGATAATGATGTATTGGCTGATATTCATTTTTTAACATAAATACAACATAAAAAACACATTTGAAAGTCCTTTATTTTTCAAAGTAGTAGGGACCAGTATGGTCCGTGTACCATTTGTTCATTTGGATTTCAATTAAGAATGAAAAAACAATAAATATGGAAAAACGATTTATTTCATTATTTGTTTTTCAGTGTCCAACAATAAACAGATTTTGACTTCTTTTTCAAATATTTCATTTAGTTCACAGGTCATAGGCATTTCTAGCCCATTTTTGGGGTTGCTGAAGCACCCCTAAATTGAATCCCAGCACCCCTAAAATTTGAGAGGTTTTTAAAAAATTTTTTTTACTGTATGTCCTTTTTTTAACAAGCTAGAAAAGTGTCAAAACCATACAGTACTTGGTTGAAACGTAATATTTTAACAACAAAAATACAGCAGCACCCCCCTCTTGCCTCAAAAATGGTTTGATCCACCCCATCCCTCCCACCTTTCCCCGACTCGGGCTCTGAGCGCTCTATCTGCACAGTGCAATGCAATGCCTTCCAGAGTGGGTGGTATGCTATGCAGTAATGGTGTAAGTACCTGACTTAAACCAGGATATGTGGCACATTTCCTGACTTCTACCACTCAATACCAACACATTATTATCATTACCAGTCCTCATTTTTGCTGCATTTAATCGTAGGTCACTGTTTATGTTGTTAGGTAGGAGTTAGCTGACGTTTTTTCTAGCTAAGAAACGTTACAGGTGGTCAGTACCATTGTCCTCTATTTAAATTGGAATGAGTGAAGCTAGCTGTTGTGTCATGTGCATGTGTTAATATTAAAGCCAAGGTGCTACTGACTAGCTTACTGACTGGATGCCCATTAACTTTATAATTCCTTGTGTGTGTGTATGTGTGTGTGCATACATTGTACCATAGGCAGGATTGTCTCTCTTTTATTATTTTATTATTATTATTTTGTAGATTTCAAGCACTTTTCTTTTTTTGAAGTGTATTTTTATTTATGTATTTGTATTATACAATACAGACAAGAAGGAAAAAGGCAGAGACAAACATTGAAAAAGTCAGTTACTGTTAATGTGTTAAAGCTATAGTGCGTAACTTCTACAGGTCCGTAAATGTCCGTTTCATCCAAGCCACTACTAGAGGTGATGACACAATGCTGATTAAGCCGATCGGCTCCTCTAACATCTCGCGGTATTTTTCAATATATATCATTTTTAGTATGCATGTAGAACAGCGACATTCCTGCGCTGCCGCACAGGAAATGCTTCCTCACAACAAGACGGGAGGGGGAGGACGAGCAGAGAGTGTCACAGCAAGAGGTAGAGCGCAGGTAGAACGTGAAAGCAACATGGCGGAGAAGCGGCCGAGACACAGTTCAGAAGTGGATCCTACCACAAAGAAAAAGCCTGGACGTTCGGCTGAAGGTCTATTAGCAAAGAAGGAAAGTGACCGACGGAGAAGGCAAACAAGGATTTGTATTGGCGTCGCTTTTCCTCGGTGGAGAGCCCTGAAGGAAGAAATTGGGCTGAGGGCAGACACGGATGTTGCCTTGCTGCTGTTGGATAAGTAAGTGACTTGGTTTATAATTATATTATGAGTAGTATGTGTTGCTGTTACATGTACTGGACCTAGTACTTTATTATTTTCTTGGAAATGGTGCTATGAACATAATGTAATGTTAGCAGCCTGGTGTTCGCCACGTTGTGTAGCATTGTGTACACGGTGTGAAGCGAGTGTTACTCTGTGTACACAGTGTGTAGCAAGTGTTGCTCTGTTTACACGGTGTGTGGCGACTGGCCAATGTTATTCTGTGTACACGGTGTGTGGCGAGTGTTACTCTGTGTACATGGAAGTGCCACCGGTTTATTAGTTGTAATAACGCATTATCCGCTGGGAGGCGACAGAGGTTACGCACTATAGCTTTAATGTTACATGTTGTGCATTGCATTTCAAATAAAAGTCCAAAAAATAAGTCCAAGGTCCATTTTTGGTATTTTTGGTACTCACTATAGGGGGCTTGTTTACTCCAGAAACATACATACTGTTTATGTGTATGCTGAGGAGCTGCTGTATCAAAATGAGTTGTCTTCCCCCAGAAATTAGGGTTACGGTTACGGTTTCTTTTATGATTCCAATCCATTCCTCTTTTGCTGTGGCTCAGCATTTAAATAACCTTTATCAGATTTGATGGTTTAGTCACAGACTTTCCCAAAAAGTGTTGTGCTTTTCTTTCACAAATGTGGGAATGAAATTGCGTTAAAATGTACAAAACAGTGAAATTTATCTTGCTTGGCTGTGCAGCTCTCTGGGTTTTCAGCACCCCTAAACCTCTGATCCTAGAATCGCCCCTGGCGCAGGTCAAAAATAGAACATTTAAAAAACGGTCTCAATCCCTTTTTTATTTTGATATTTAATCTCTCTCATTTCTGTGCCCCGGAAGTTATTCAGCCTAGCGCTTACTTAATTTACTGTCTGATACTGTTAGTAGGCTGTTGTTTATTATGGCTGCCTTGGAGTACCAAGAATTATGCGCTTGTTGCCGCGACGTAAAACATAACTTTGACTCTGCAACATTGCCATTGCTCTCGAAGGCTCTGGTAGAAAGGATCAGCGCTCAGTGAATAACCTCCTAAGCCCTATGATAAACTATTATGGCAAGGCTTAACTATACAGACCAGTGAGCAGTGATAACTAACACGTCTTTGAGGTCATCAGGTGGGAACCTCCTTTCATCAGTGTTTTGTCTAGTTCCCGCACCGACCCAACAACCTCCTTTACCTTACACATGGCTTTCTCAGGCCAAACACCACTGCCACCTTCAACAAACCCAGGCTCCGTTTATGCGAGCTCCAGGTAGTGGCCGTGCCGATACTACCTTTCCTAGCACATTCACCATACTCTATTTCACACGCTACAAAGCATAAGTCCAATATAAGCTAAAGTTTTTTTTGTTTGTTTGTGTTTTTTAAGATATGTTTTTGGGCATTTTGCCTTTAATTGATAGGTCAGCCAAGTGTGAAATGGGGAGGGAGAGAGAGAGGGGATGACATGCAGCAAAGGGCCACAGGCTGGACTCGAACCCGGGCTGCTGCGGCAACAGCCTTGTACATGGGGCGCCTGCTCTATCCACTAAGCCACTGATTGGTGGATCTCTCCACCTGATCTCAAGGAGTTATGTACCCTGCCTAGTCTGCCTACTGGCCCCCAACTGACATTATTCTTCCTCATCCAGATCCACTGACTAGATCTAGCTGCTTCATCTGACATATCCTTCACTGTCTTCCTCAAACTCTGTCCCCGCACTCCGAGTTCCCCCAGGAGCGAGACAGCTGATCTTGCTGTGAATCCCCTACACCCCACTTCCACTGGACAAATCCTAGTTTTCCACCCTTGCTGCTCCTAAGCTTTCTTCTTTCATAGGCTTCTTCCACTGAGTCTTCCCAAGGAACTGTCAGCTCAATGAAGTAAACTATCCGTTGACTCACTGACCACAACACTATGGCAGGCCTCTGCTTGGTACAAACTATTTCGTGGGGAACAACAAGCTTTCCCCCTAAATCTACTTGCATTTCCCAATCACAAGCACCCTCTAGGCGGCCACACCCTTGCCTCCTTACTAACTTATCACTTCTGTATTTCTCCCCCTAATGGACAACCTGAATTGCTGAGCTCCTATTCTTAAAACCTTCTGAATTTGCCTGTCTTCATTTCCCTGCGATGCCTGCAGCTAAACTTCTCGACACCTGGTTATGTCGCCATGTATACCGACCTTGTGACAAGCTAACTTTACAGCCTGACAAAATATGCTTTAAGGTTGTGGTACCTGAACATAATGGGCATGATGGGTCCCCATTTACCCACAGTTTTAGGTTCTGGGGGGTTGGTAACACATCATATGTAGCCCCTACCAGGAATCTAATACGATTCTCCTCCATATTCTACAGGTCCCTCCAACTAAGCTTCCTCTTCTCTACACTTTCCCACTTCAACCACTGTCCCTGCTTAGCCTGGGCCACTACCTTTGCACCCCTTAATATCTCCTCCTGTCTACCTGTCTATTCCACAACCAGCTTTCTTTTATCTTTGGGACCTGCTTTAGTCCATACCAGTTTGCCTGAGCCAGGCCCCAGGCCTCCCCGGCCAAACTGAACATTACCTACAATCTCTGCATGCCTAAGAGCTGCCTCTGCCTCTTGAACTGCTGATCCTGGGTTCCATTTCCTCCCCTTGGTTTGATTTGGAACCACACTCCTAACTACCATGTCCTTACTCCCAGATAACAACAGCTCTGTCCTGACCTTGGTACATTTAAATTCCTCTGTTA